TGATGTTAACTGTAAGTCTAATATCTGAGATTATGAGTGCTAACTTCTTCTTTGTTAATGATTCTAATAATTTTTTTAAGTCTTTTTGTTTTGTTTTTGCAGTTTCAGGTCATAAGAGTCGCAAGTCATGCTTCTTCTTTGTTATTTGGTTATTTTTGTTAACAAAATTTTTTCGGGTATTTAAGAACCGAAATCTTTTGGATATTTTACGGTTCTCATCCTTCATACCCGAACCGATCCGAAACCGAAAAGTACCGAACCGGAACCGAACCGGAACCGAACCGAAAACAATTCGGTACCTATATAGATCTAAAACTTAAGAACCGAAATATCCAGAACTATTCGGTTCTTACCCGGAACCGAACCGAATATCCGAAAGCCCAAGGCTAATAATACACTACATATTTGGATACGAGAGCAGGCGAATTATAAAAAAATATAACCATATTATATATATATTGAAACAAATCAAACAATTTTGCATCTGTCGCCACAAATGCGTATAAGAGAAACAGAGGATTGGTCCTCCTCGATAGGCATTGATAACGACAACTCGAAGAGTATTGGTTAAGGCTAAGGTAATCAATGTTTGACTGAAGACTGATGTGTTGTTACCATTCTACCATTTTTATATAAACGTCCGTGGCACGTTTGTTCATGATTCTTTCCTATTTTTCTCTTCAACTTTTTTGTTTTCTTCTCTGTACCAAAGTCAAACTTATTTTTGGAATATATAAGATTTTTTCAATATTTTAAAGCTTTACAATAATCAACTATGATTAACATTGCAATGGAAAACTTTCTATTTTGGACAGAATTTTTTAGACCATTACTTTATTTGTATGTATCTTCCATAACGATGTTAATCTTTTCTTTATCGTTTCAAACAAATATTTATTTTTAAAGATATTTTTTGAAGAGAGCACAGCATTAGAACATTTTTAAACTTTGTTTTACCACTATACTACCATAATCCATAACCTAGTTCATTTTTCCTCAACTGTAAATATTAAGAAGATAGGAAACCATGACCATAGAACACAACGATAATGAAATGAATTAGGCCTTTCCAACCAAAAAAAAACTAATAAAAATAAATCAATTTTTTACTTGGAATAATTTCACTGGCTGGCTCGCCGTATTTACGTTTACACATATGTTCAATATTAATTTGCTTATATAGATTTAGTAGTTCCAGTGAAGACAAGTTTTAGTGGTAGAAAATGCATATTAATACGTACTAGAAAATTTACATGATAGTAAAACTACATTATAGCTGAGAAAGCAAATAATTCTGCATGATTGAGATTTGAACAAACGACGACACCTATATCATCACTCAGGTTTACATATGAACCGAAAAGCGACAAATTCTTAATCAACAAAATAAATTAGATATATACTTACAAACTTTCTCAAGGGTAACATTTCAATACATGTTTATGAGTTTTAAATTCTTTTAGAGTAACAAAACAAATTTCATGAACAGAGAATCATTCTAAACTATTCAATTTTACACAAATCCATTGACTGGAAGTCTTGAACGCCTTGTAGGCTTTGAGTCTTTGACCAAATTAAAGAAGAAGAGGCTATAAGCAATCGAAAATAAAGTCATACTTCATAAATTGTTTAGTACGAGAAGTACAATAATTACATGACCCAAAATATACTTGACTCTTAAAGATTATAAAAGGTGGAAACTTTCTCTTTCGTATGAATTAAAGGGAATTAAATCATCCACTTTTTAACAAAAACCAAAAAAAAACTTCCACTTGTTAATGGAGGGGGATGTGCGTAGATTTGATGTATCACCCTACTTTAGTCTTTAGCGTAATGAAAGCACTAATCAGTATTATTTTACAAAATTTATCTGACAGATTGCTGACATAAGCATTACTCCACAACTCAATATGGTATTATGTTTGTACGAGTAGCGTCCAACAATTTTTAAAATATTTGTTTTTTTGGTAATTTTTTTTTTATTATGTAACTTACTACATTTTTGACACTAAAGGCTATAGTGGTGAATTTGTGTAAAATTATTTTTGATCTGAAACAAACATGTAAAATAGTAGTTTGTGATAGTGTTGTAGACTTGTAGGTGTGTTACCACAATAACTCGAATCCAAATAATGCATATTGGCTCTGTTCTTTTCTTCGATGCTGGCGTCCACGTCAGATCATAACGGCGATGACCGTAATACCTAACTGAAGCAAAACGGCGACGACTGTAATACTTAGACCATCTCCAACCCTACTCCAAATTTTATTGCAAAATAGAATTTGCAGCAAGATTATCTCCAACCCTACTCCAATTCTCACTCCAAAATGAAGTAAAAAATGGAGTTACTCCAAATATGGAGCAAAAATATAGTTTCTCTATTTTTTATCATAACTCCATTTTGGAGCAAAAAATGGAGTTTACATTGGAATAAAACCAACTCCATTTTGGAATTACTTCAAAATAAAGAAAAATATGCAGTCATACATTGGAGATGCTCTTAATGAAGCAAAACGACCATGTATGGAGATGCTGCTGGAAGAGGAAGTATCGCAGGAGGTGGCCGCAATATCTAAAAAATGACGCTGTATTTTCCCAGCGTTACCAACAACACCGGCGTCACTGTTAAACGTAATCGCAGCTTCACAGACGTATGAACACGGACACCGTTTTTAAATTCTCTAAGTGTATTTTTTGGTCGCCGAACGCTTGACGCAACATTTATGAAAAGAACATGGCTATTGTAAGAGTTTCAACGAAGATAAAAACCTACATGTATTTTATTGAGTATCGTAGTAGTGAATAAGCCCACAAAGAGAAAAGAGATCCTAAATTTATAATGGACTTGGGCTTTACATTCGTGGGCCATTTGACCTTATGGTGGAATTGTGTGTTTATATGCACATCCATATGAATTAATTAAAAAGTGGGTCATAATATTACACCTTAAATTAAATATAGACAATATGATAATTGATGATTGATGACTATAACAGATGTGGACTGTTAATCTAACTTGGAGGATTCAGAAAACAAAATAAATAATTGAGGAGATATCATTTACAAATCAAGACAGTTTAAATAAATAATTGAGGAGATATCATTTACAAATCAAGACAGTTTACCTACAGTTTATAGTATTAACCTTTATTTTTTGAATCATAACTTGTCCAAGGGATGTTCTTGCAAGACGCTGTCATGATGTAATGAATCAAGAAATTAATTATAATTAATGATCTTTCTCTTGTAGTTTTATATTTGTTGTACGTATGATGGTTGTCACATACGGATACGGTCTCTTATATTCAAACACAGTATAAATTTCAAACGGAAGGAAGAAATGATCAACATCTGTATTAAAGCTTTGAAAATAAGAAAACGAATCTAAACATTAATTATAGTTTGTATTAGGATTCTCACATCTAACTATTATAAAACTTCAAGTAATATATAAAAGACATGAACAAAACTAGTCATTAATTAGAAGTTGATGATTTTTTTGCCAACAACTCTTATACACACGCATTTTATCATATATGGATCTAATACTTATACAATAATAACTACATTAGTACAAACCAGTAGCTACATAACCTAATCAATATTTTAACTTCCTTATGAAACAAAACATTTGGACTATCGATTTGCTCGTATAACTACTATCACATAGCTGGAAAAAAAAATGTCATCTTTATGTCAAACAGATTGATGCATGTAATTTTTAAGTAAGCAGATCAATATTTTCACTTGAAGCTCATTTGTTTGCAAATATTTTCACTCGGACCTTTCGTTCGAGATCTGTCTTTATTCCATCAATTTAAACCTAAATATTTGAGCTCACCCGATCACGCTCGCCATTGTTATAGATGAACTGTGTGTCCTTCTAATCATGTCGCATAAAGTCCTCATCAACGGTTTCCGTTTGATCAGAAGATAACACCCAACTTGAGAACTTCATTAGTCATTATGACAGTGACCTTTTCCGGGTCTTACCACTAATAACTCTATTTCACATTTATGTTGCAGTTATTTATTAAAACTTTTATTCGCGAAATTCATGATTTTCTTTCTCTATTTTTTTTTGTTTAAAGCTATATTTCAATTTAAGTTGAAGATAATTCTTATCCTGTCTAATACTTGCCGAAAAAAGAGTTGAAGATAATTCTTATCCTGTCTAATACTTGCCGAAAAAAGAGTTGAAGATAATTTATTAGGTATTGGATAGGATAAGATGATTGTTTTACTCGAATAATCTATTCTTAGAATGTACCTTTCCCTTCTAACTTTTATAGAATGTAATTGCAAAACCTTTTAAAACCAAAACAAGAAAAAAGCAATTACAAAACCTTTTTACCGTAAAATTCATCAATTTATTGGGACATGAAGAGAAATCCCTTTGACCAAAAAAAAAAGAGAAGAAAAATTTCCAGGTTCAATCTTTCTTTACTTTTTTCAGGACATGTGTCTGGATAATGGCAAAATTCTACATTGGGGGAAAGCATAATCCTCGAGAACACACGAATTACATGTCCCTTATAATCCCTAACACGAAATCCATTCACGTAATAGTTTGCTGATTTCATAAACACTCCATTCTCTTTCAATTTAAGTTTCGACTTCTCTTAAAGAGTAGACAAAGTAAAAAAAAAAAAAAAAGAAAAGAAAAGAAAAAAAGAGTAGACAAAGTGGTTGAAAAAACTTGTAGACCAAAATTTTAATTATAAAATTATGATGTTTAACTAAAGAATTAAGAGAATTATTCTCAAGCAACTAATGTCATTTTCATGTGATCGTAGCCTCAGCTTTTCTTACCCACCACATCAAACACCCAAAATCCCACCCAAATTATTAAAAGTTTAGGCCCCACTTTTCTATTTTATCTGTTTTCTACCCCTGAAATTAATTACAACGATGCATTTTCCAAAATCTGGATTATACAGTTTAGTTCGCATAAAATGAACTGCATACTAAATAAACGATGAGAGATTATTTTTCTTCCAAAAACACTTTCGAGAGACATAATCTATTACATAAATAATCGATACACATACGCTCATACGCAAAATGTGATAATCCAGTCTCAAAGTTAACAAAATTACATGGGTAAGATTCTCGAAATAGACGATACATCGAGGGCATTCCTAGAAATATTATATGCTCTCTCTCTCTCTGACAGTTAACTTTAGAAAATGATCGAAACCAAAAATAAGGGGAACATCGAAAACTTTCCAAATATTAATCCTGGAACCCAATTTTCTCAAAAATTGCATTTCTGACCCTACTCAGATCTCTTCCTTTCAAAGTCCTCCCAACTCCTTCATGAACCGAGAACGACGCCATTCTCGTCCTCGCCAGAAACTCGTGCGGCGGTAACCTTCCGCCGCTTGCGTCCAACCAATCACCACCGTCTTCGTAATCGCCGTCGTCATCCTCGATGCCTCTACGGCGATTATCGCGGTGCTCCTCCCGGAGAATCTTCGACCAGTCCGGGACGTTGATCGGGAGCGACGACGCCGCTACCGTGGAGGAAGCGGAGGGCCGATTTGACGGTTTTTTCGCGGATCTGCCTGATGCAGAGATTTTCCGGCGAAAATCAGGCGAATCGGAGTGGACGGAACCGGAAGAAGCGTAAAGATCGGATTCGTCGAACTCGAGTCCTGAATCGGTGGCGGCGAAGTACGACTGATTGGTGTCGAGGAAACGGTAGCTAGGCCGAGCGTAGTAGCTTTTTCCCGTCGCCATTGAAGAAGAAAAAGAAGAAGAAGAAGAAGAGAATTTAAAATTAAAATTTTAGAGTTTTATGATTTTGAATTTTTGTTTTGCTATGAGAAGAATTAGTCATGAGGGAGTCTTTGCTTTTATACAGATTTCGGGGTTGGATAAAATGGATATCTCTCTCTTAACTTCCAGTTTCCGTCAGTGTAAATCACGGAAATACCCTTACTGGTTTTCATGAAATTATTAAATGAAGTATCGAAAAATTGCCACGAACGCGAAGGATTTTCCTTTCGTGGAGAGAATATTACATGTGTCGTATAAGCATATTCTTACCATGCTTTTGTATGGAAAAGAAGTATTCGTCTTAAAATTAAATTCATATCTATTTTTAGCACTTGATTGCGAATTTTGCACTATATTCTACGTAGTCTAAATTGATTTTCTAATTAAAAAAAGTTTTTTTTGAGCGTATGAAATCATAATTTTGCATTTCTAGTAAGAAAAAAGAAATCATATTTTCTCCTTTTGGTAAAAAAAACATATTTTCATTGAAGGGAAAAATAATATCCGTATATTCTTTTTGAATAAGTATATTGGAATCCAAAATAAACATATTCTGTTACTAATTTCACGTAATTACAGAAATAAGAAATACAGTAGCTATTATATATCACTACTATAGTTGACAAAGAAAATTCATTTTTTTGTGTTTTGCCCGCAATACGAATAATTTTGGTCAAAAAAATAAAGAATACGAAAAAATAAATCCATTAACAAAAAAAAAAAATACATGGACGGAGAATATTATGGGGATATAAAATAGTATAAAAATAATATAAGCCTCGACCGTTTGGAAACTTACGAGGATGGTCGGTGTGAGCGGCGCGGAGAACCAGAACCGTCGAAAGATTACATCATCACTCGTAAAATCTAGCCGTTCCACACTCGAAACCAATTTTATTAATAAATTTTATCTTCTTTACCCAATGAAAACACTCTGCACAAAGCTTCCACTCGTGCTTTCTCTCGTGATATAACTTATTGTATTTGATTCATAATAATATTGTTTCTCTTCCCTATAATATTATTTGTGCTGTATTACCTATTAAACTACTGAAATATATGGACTAATAGTTATGGATTATTGTTTCTCTTCCCTATAATATTATTTGTGCTGTATTACCTATTTTCGCATATTTTATAGCCTGATACGAACAGCAGACTCTACAGTTCACACTTCACACCAACAAAACATTAAACTTTATTGTTAATTCTGCGAAATCAAAGGTATGTGACTGAATGAATACTACTACATAGTCTATATTACTACTATTAAATTTATAGTAGAAACTGTATAGTTTATAGTGTGTACGTGTGTAAGCCCGTTTACCTCAGTGTTTATCACGAGACAATGCTGTGCTACATATACATCTCTTTTTACTGATGAAAAAAGAAGAAGATATTATTTTTTTGTTGCTATTTTGTATATTTTTCTTTTATTCTCTAAGCTATTCGTTATTAAAAAAAACAACGTTATTTAAAATTATTGGATCATGCTGGTAGTCTGGTACAAGTCTCTTGTTTCTTCTGCCACCAAAAAACAAAAATAGGGGAATATTAGGTTGTTCCAACTTTCAATAAAAAAAAGTTAAAAATTGGGAGATAAAAGGACTATAAAATCTTCCAATACAAGGTTCATTTATCAATTTAAAAAAAAAAAATATTTGCGATGCGAATTTAAGCCTAATAAAACAAAGAATATTTAAAATTTATTGACTCTCATAAGTAAGATAATTCTTCAAACAAAATATAATGTACATAAAAAAATTATTTTGGAGTTTTAATTGGATATATGTAGTTTCTCTTCCTCTAAATATCATTTTCCATAATCCATAATTTTGGTTCAAGTTTTTGTTGTGACTCGGGTGTGGGGCTTGCTTCTCGTTCTCCCTCCCCATTTCCAAGAGAGACAAAGCATAGTCTCTACGATCAAGACACGTGTAATAACAGATCGATCTCGTTAGTCATTACACGTGATATAGCTTAGATGGATGCCACGTGACGATAGGATCCACTTACTCGGATCTAACGCGCTTATCTCTCGCCAGCTGGACTTTCAGGTTTTAAAGTGCTTTCGTTATCTTCTCTCTCTCCTTTCTCGATGTCCTCCCACGCGCGACAGACTCATACCATCTCTTTTAAGTAGAGATGTCAAACAGGCTAACCCGCATCCAAATAGTCCGATTTGATGCGGGTTTAATTTTTTTTCGGGTTTAGCGAGTTGACCTATCATAAGCTGCGGTCCCAAGTTAATGTGTCTAAGTACGACCCGCTTATATTCTGCGGTTTTGCGAGCTGGCCCGTAGATTCATACTTTCTTTTTCATCTTAAAGTTTTTATGACATTTAGATTTATAGTACCAAAAAATCTACAAGAGAAAAATAGAATTTTACTCGTAACTGAAACACAATATGCATAAGAAACAAAACTAAAGAAAATTCTTGTGTAAGCAAATTCGATGAACAAACAAATAAATTCGATAAACCTCTTATACGAAACTCCTAACTCTATGATACCATAAGATTTAAAAAATCAATTTAACGGTAAAAATAGACACTTAGTTTTGAAAAGCAAATAAATGAATTACAAATAATGATACACATAAAAACTGGTAATTTAAGCTAAATAACCATCAAGATACAAGCAACAAGACATTCACATATATATATATAAAAAAAGATGAAGGCAGTTTATTTGTTAGTCCAGCGTACAAACAAATGTGATTTTCAAGCAAAACTATTTATTGTCAATTCAAGATTTAAATGATTCTAAATTACATTTGTATCGCTGCGGACAAAAGAAATACCACGTCCGTGATATAGTCGATGAGCAAAACCAAAAAAAAAAACAAATTTATGACATTAAACTGAAATTAAAACTTTTTAAAAAATACTAGTTTTTAGCCGGGAAAACAATGACCAGATTTTCTTCCAAATTCAAAAATCCAATAATAGAATTTGAATCGAATATAATATAAAACATATACTAGTTTGATGATTCCTTGATCTCATTGAAATGAAGCTACCACAAAGCCCAATAGCTGAATTGTATGACTCCACTAGGCTTTGATTCACTCCATAAAATTACTACTTCGAAATCCACTAATAAAAATGACAAAATACTTCACTTTTCGAAATTTACAAGAAAACATCAAATTTTGCGGGTTGATCCGCAAATCCGTGAATCCGCTTTGATCCGACCCGCAAAAGCCCAATTTCCACGCGGATTTGGACCGTAAAACCCGCATTTTATTTGGACAAATTTTATGGAGTTCAAGCCCGCATCGCTGCGGTTTTACTTGGGTCGAACCCGCGGATCAGAACCCAATTTGACACCTTTATCTTTAAATATAATATCTTGATATTTTTCTCATCTACTTTGAGGTTGATAATAGCGCGTGATATATACTTGCGAGTGGTGTTTTTTCCTTTGTTTTTTCACGAGATTCGTTGAACGTTGAACTTTTTTTTTGGTCCTACTTTACTTATTTAAGTGTTTTGTTCAAATAAAACTTCCTTATTTTTGTTGACAAAAAAAAACTTCCTTATTTTTTCTCTTTAAAAGGTTTTTTGTGTCTATCCACACATCTACGCATTCTGATTTCTAGATTTTTATTGCATCGAGTGTAGTTTCTTTAGTGTGATTGAAAAAAGATAACATGGTCGATATTATTCTAGGTGTCTTTAAATTATTTTTGTGTCTATCCACATCTACGCATTCTATTTTCTAGATTTTTGTTACATCGAGTGTAGTTTCTTTAATATGATTGAAAAAAGATGACATGGTCGATATTATTCTAGGTGTCTTTTTCCATATTGTATGAAATAATAAAGTAAGAAAACCGGTTAGAACAATACTGTAAAATCAGAATTTTAAATAAAATTTTAAATGGTTCATATTTGATGTAAGTATTTATTTTCGTTAAAAATAATAAAATTTGAGGATATTTTGATGGATGATTGTTTTATCTGTCCTTGGAAGCAATTTATGTGTCCTTGGGAAGTAAATTTTTTAGGTGTCGACATAGTGGGCACATCAATATTATATTATGATTAGAAAAATAAAAAGTTAAAAATACTGCGCTGTAATGGTGATGATGATGATAAAGTGACTTTATTGCGAAAAAAACTTATAAAATTAATGCTTCGTCCAATCATGTTATCCTTTCCAGAAAGTTACGAGGTGAAACCATAACATAATAAATGAATAAATAACTCAATAATCGTTTAAATAGATACAGCCAGTCATAAGGCTCAGGGAAAAGTGATACTGTGATTTTATACAAATGTTGTTACAAGCTAGTGGTGAATCATTGGGCTATTTTCTATATTTGTTCGGCGAGTCTTTTAAGTGATTAATCGATTAGATTCCTTTAATACTATTCTGTTGGTCCATGGAAGATCGTAGATGTCACAGATGAGAATTATGCAAAGAAATTTGTAACAGGTATACAATAATGTTTAGAGTTTTTATGCAAAGAAGTGAAGAACATTTGAACATATTTGTTAGTTTTTATTGATAGTCTAGTGAATTTATTCGCGATCCAAATTTAAGTACCATTGTGTTCAACGGTTTTTGTAATTTTAGAAACCTAAAATCATAATGGCAGCGAGTGAATACTACATAGCATATATTAGAGTTTTATGCAAGTTATGATTAATATTTTTATTTTCTTAGAAAGAAAACTAACGAAAAATATATTTTATGGTTTTTTTCAGTTAAAGATGATAATAGACCGTCGATAAAAAAAAGTCAATAGACCAATTATAGTAACTTGCAACCATATGACGACGATAAATTTTAACATTTTATGATCATGTAACAAAATAATTTTAGATTTTTGCAACATATATATCATAGTCAAGACTTCGATCAATTCATTCACCACCAGTATAGCAAAATGGGATCTCTTAATTAAATTTGTACGTCAAAACAATTTATGAATATTCCTCTTAAAATATATATATATATGTGCATGAGTCACATGATTATGAGTCAATGTTGAAAACAAATTGCTTGAAGATTAATGAGACCATTATGCAAAATATTTTTGTATGAATATACAAATACGGATGCATGTACATCAGCAAACTCATTAATGTGTACGATAAAATTTATATGTAGTATATGTGTGTCTTTGGCATTATCTTTCTTAGTTCTTAGATCCTTTGAACTTTGATCAATTTTCTTAGTTGTCAATACAGATGGAAATTTATGTGCGTATGTATGTGTTTACAGACCCATTCCTCTTTGAAAATTTCTATCACAATGTAAAGTACTAATCCGGAAGCAAATAGTATATTCCTTATCTCAAAACTGATGATATTCAGTCCAGTCACTTGCATAAAATCCGGGACTAGCCATTATTAACCAATGGCATGTATAAGATTGGCTAGAATTTTTTAGGTAGATGGAGAAAGAAATAGAGAAGGCGAAGTTTATGTATGCAGTATTCTTTTTTGACTAACGTATTCAGTATTCTTATTGAGTGAAGTATTTCCATTAAATGTTCAAAAGCACTTAAGCACATCTTAGAGCTGGTATATATAATGCGAATATATAGTTCCTACCACGATTCTTGAGCAGAATTACCAAATTATTTACTCCCTACGTACGCGTGTTTCATCAAACAGATCATCACCCAATGGTCCTTGGTCTGTGTAACTTTATTAAGTAACACAAACAATCTATTGTGTTTTGAGAACACTGTCCTTGGTTCAGGCTTTCAATTTCACTTTGCTCAGTGTATATATGGTTTCTGCTTCTCAGGTTTTGATATTGTTTGTTTTCATTTAGGTGTGCGTTTGCTCTTCTAAATAACTATGTTACAGCATAAAAATGCAAATGTATGGAAAAAAACAATCGGCCTCTACACAATTTTTTTATAAGGCCGAATCACAACAAATTTTGGCTGTGTATATTGATCGGGTATAACAAGCACACACATCATGTGAAACATCCGAATCAAAAACCAGAACCAACTGGCCCAAGAGATGTTTTATACTAAGGCTTTTATCATTCCTGAAACGTCTCACTCTTTTTCATCCATCTCATCTTCTCTCTGATCTTATATGAATATACACAATAATCAAAAGAACTAGATTGTCTATCTAGAGTACAACAACAACAGCAACAAAAACAAAATGATTGGAGGTATATATCCTTTGAAAAATGCAACTGATTTCAATTACAAAATGAAAAGAAAACGAAACCAAAGCGACATGACAAACACATAATCTGTAGTGTTGACAATGACATATAGGCCAAACAGATTGGACTCTCAGACCTATAGAGGCCGTATTCAGTAACACATTATAACACAAGAGTCCACCTAGCTTTATTGAAAAATCAGGCCCATAAAAAATGTCTTTTAGATAAACTCCTTTTCCCAAAATTAGCCTTCAAAAATCTTCACAAACATCCGACATTGAAACGAAACGAAACATTAAATCCGCATCCTGTGAAGTTTGGTTTTGAGAATTTGATTAGACCGGTGGCACTCTGCTTTTGATTTCGGTTTGAGACAACCAAACCCGAATTGAAGGGCCAAATTCGTCATTCTAGTGAAAAAAACCCTAGCTGCTCAAACGCTTTATAACAGAGAAGACGAAACCCTAGTAGCTGAGAGTGAGTGTGAAGATTAGGAGAAAATGCCGCCGAAATTGGACCCATCTCAAATCGTCGACGTCTACGTCCGAGTCACCGGAGGTGAAGTCGGAGCAGCGAGTTCACTTGCCCCGAAGATCGGTCCACTCGGTCTCGCGCCGAAGAAGATCGGAGAAGACATCGCCAAGGAGACGGCGAAAGAATGGAAAGGGCTTCGAGTCACCGTCAAGCTCACGGTCCAGAATCGTCAAGCTAAGGTCACCGTTGTTCCTTCCGCGGCGGCTCTGGTCATCAAGGCGCTCAAGGAGCCAGAGCGAGATCGTAAGAAGGTGAAGAACATCAAACATAACGGGAACATCTCGTTTGATGACGTTATCGAGATCTCCAAAATTATGCGTCCGAGATCGATTGCAAAGGAATTGAGTGGAACGGTGAGGGAAATCTTGGGGACTTGCGTCTCCGTTGGTTGTACGGTCGATGGCAGAGACCCGAAGGATCTTCAGGAAGAAATCGTCAATGGAGACATTGAAGTTCCTAACGAGTGAAGGTTTTACTTTTTGGCTTCTCTTATTCGTATTTTTGTTGTATTTTGATTTCGAGGATTTGCTTTTTTAGTATACTATATTTCGGTATTGAGAAACTCGGAAGACGTTTTTTGGATTTGCACATTTGAATCCTTTCTTGGGATACAATTAGAAATGTTTCATTTCTATAATCTAACAACTTGGTTTTGAGTGTCCAAAAATTGAAATGTGTGTTATGACTTAGAATCTGATAGTGAATTGAACATTAGATTAGATTGTTTTGGCTTTGATCTTTCGGTCATTTAAGTATCATTGACACGGTCAGTCACCAAGCTCGATGGAACATTCAATTAAACGGTTTGATGTCTTGTCGAAAGTGCTGTCTTTGTAGTGAAGATTTAAGCTTTCTTTCTCCTTGCAACAATGGTAGATATTGTGCTGCATCATTTAGCTCTAGTGACATTGTTGAATGAATGCATCAAAACATCTATATAGAAAGTCTGAGACTGTGAGTGTTCTTTCGGGTTTGGTTACCATCTGGTTGGGCTAGTTGCACTTAAACCGTTCTTTACAACTTCATTGTCTTGGATCTAAGTTTGTTCTTGAATCTTGATTGATATGAGAAGTGGCTTTTGTTGTTTAAGTTGAACGCAAAGTCATGTTATGCATTGGTAAAAAGTACATAGACTTGAAGGGATCAAATCAATGAATATGACCTGGTTATAGTGAGAAAAAGAAGACGTCTATTAACATCATAATATACTAAATAATTCAATCATTAGAGTTCACTAAAATTCATCGAGCACAGTTTTTGTGGTGGTGGTGCTACATTCATTTCTACTAAATGATTAGTTGATGTTGATATCAATTGATCAGAGAGTATTAGGTGATTATTTTGTATGTTTGCCAAAAGAAGTGAAAAGCCGGTTAGTCATTGCAGGATTTGCGTCACATCCTCTGGTCACAAGTGTCTGACTCACAACTCTCAACTGTCGTATGCTCTCTGAGTCCTAATCAATAGCTTTTGTTACCAAACCATTTAATAAATAAAGACATCTTAATTCTTTTGTTAATAAATTTTAGTTATCTAACACAAACTTACAATAACACATGCATGTATATACTTCGAAATCATCATCTCTATATCAAACTCTAAACCAAAAATGCATGAACATGCTCACATGCCATGTACTGAATGCATTTTTTTTTTTTTGCCAACCTGAATGCATATCTTTATGTGTTTGTGTTTGTGTAATTAGATATATAAATATATGTGCATGCAACAAGCATGTAAGTCCAACATTAATTGATTAATTGGAAGGGCTAGGAGAATAGGAGCAATGGGACATAATGTTACGTGTACAGAAGAATTCGCCTGGCAAAGATAACATATAATAACAGCTCAACGTCTTGCATGTCATGGCTCTCATTCTTATCTTCTCCTCGTTATTTTCCTTTTCCTTAATTTTATACCCAATTTTTCTATAGTTGGTGGGTTACGTTGAGTTCATGTTTAAAATTATGTAGTCACTATTATTTTTTGACGAATTTTTCTATCAAATTAGAGACTACAATTCTTTTGCTAAATCATTTGATAGATATATCAATTTTATCTATAATTGCACCTGATTTTTGTTGTTCTTAAAAACTTTACAAGGAAATTTTATACTTGTAACTTTTTTATGTGGGTGGGATGAGACTTTGCTTGCTCACTGAAGAAAACATTAAATGCAGAAAATTCTTGCACGCTAAATTGTAATAATTCCCAAAAGAGGGCATCTTTTTTCATATGCAAGTTAGTTACATAACCTTTACAAGATTCCTATTTCCTCGTATATGTTTTTGTGTGTGGAACTTTATGTCATATATGTATATTATATAGTAACTATATTCTAATTTCTTAACTAGCTCTATCCCCGGTAATGTCATATATGATTAATATGACTTAAGAATTAAAGTTGTGACGACGACGATGATATAGTCTTGTTCCGAAATATTTTCCATTCAAGTATGCGATGTATCTTAGATTAGGTATGAGTTTAATATCCACTATATCTAAGTCATCTTAGTGTGGCCGTAATTGATAATTTTTTTTTTGTTTTTTATTAAAAGACCTCTTATTCTATAACATATACAGGTGAGTTATTTATATTATAATAAAAAAATTATGGATTGGTCAGAGAATTTTAATCTGACAGGTTGGACTAAGTTCAAACTTATAACAGAAACTAAGCCTATAGATTGAAATCTGGAGGCTTGTAAATTTCTTATTTCTCCTGCCATTCAATATGAAAACCTTTGTTACAAAAAAAAAGAAGAAGTTAATGAGTTTGAAATTTGACGTAGCAACAACCACTGAAAACTATTAAATTAAGGTCCAACTAAATTAATACAAACAAACAAGAATATGTCTAAAACGAGCGTTGGTTGGACGGCTTAAAACAAGTTTATCTTCTACTAATCATACAAATTAAGACAGCTCTGACCCTTAATTATGTTGTTCGGAAAATGTACGCATAATATAAAAAATGTTACGTAAAAAAAAAGAGATACAAAATGTTGAATTGAAGAAACATCATACGTACTCGACATAGGTTAGTGGAGACTCTGGAGACACATGATTGGCTATACGAATGTGTTGTACAGATGAACTAGAAGTCTCCATTACTATTTTACTCTTTAGAATCAATCTAATTATAAGTTAAGAAAAAAAAGCAAAAATAACTGGTGTAAATTAAATTATTAACTGATATCGGTTAATTTGACAGTGACGGATAGTATAGTGGGTTAGTGATGCAGAGCATCCTTAACTATTCTAAAAGGTTCACGTCTATTAGGTGTTGGTGTTTACGTGTCCTTAAATTAAGTATTTTTCCTTTTCGTTTCTTTCCCTTTTGCAGTTTTCCTTTTAAGTTCTCACGACTTCTTATAACTTTAGGATTGTGTTAGGAGTTATATAAAGGAGTCGTAGCTTTGTTTTCTTCTGATCTTTTGCTTTTGAAAACTAATAAAAAAAAAACCAAAAGAGGAAGTCTTAACTTCCCAAAGAGCTTGTGTTTGCACAGCACTGAGAGGAGTACTCTCAACCAAATTAATTCAGTCGATTTCTTGATCTTCTAAATTAAGAACCAAGTTCGTTTCAAGTTCTCTCAGAGTTATCGAAGCTTACTTGTCTAAAACGCTTGCGCGACTCCATCAGTTGGTATCAGATTACAGGACGTTTCTGGTTTGATTCATCATGCCTCCAAAGAAAGATACACAGGAAGAAATCTCCATGGCAGACCTGCAGCGTACGATACTAGCTATGCACGAAAATCTGCAGAACACGTTTCAGCAGACAATACAAACCCTAGGTGACACTTTGGCTCAAAATCAGCAAACCTTGATCGCAGCAATGACCACTAATAACAGAGCTGTTGTTGCCGATATTAACAATAATCAAGACGGCGATGGTGGCAACAACCGTAACCTACAACAACGACAACACGAAGGAAGAAATAATCAACAAAACAACCCTCTTGGTGATCGTCGTTGGGAATCCGGGTTGAAAGTGGATATTCCAGAATTTCAAGGCAGCGTTCGTGGAGAAGACTTGTTAGATTGGCTCATCACTGTCGAAGAGGTGCTGGAGTTCAAACAGGTACCACCTGATCGTCAAGTTCCACTTGTTGCGACAAGATTTCGTGGAAGAGCAGCCGCTTGGTGGTTACAACTCAAATCAACTCGAGCTCGCACCGGAAAATCTCGTATCACAACGTGGGAAAAATTAAAAAAACACTTGCGTGGACAGTTCCTCCCACTAAACCATGACCGTACCATGTTCACTAGACTGCAAAATCTGCGACAAGGATCACGAACTGTGGATGAATACGCTGAGGAATTCTACCTTCTACTCACAAGAAACGAGCTCAACGATACACAGATCCAGTTGGTCTCTCGGTTTATTGGTGGGTTACGACCTCAGTTACAAAATTCATTGACACAATTTGATCCGTCGACAGTGGCTGAAGCACATCGGAGAGCTCTTGCTTTCGAAACACAGTCCAAAGCCGGCTCGTCTTGTACTAATTCTGGGAATTGGCGACCTCGTCTTACAGGTACTGATACAAAAAACAGTTCTCGCGATAGTCCGGAAGTGACAAAATCTCAGACAGCACCTCGCAACTCCACCACCCTTGACGAGTCTACCCTTCGTCGCTCCACGCGACCGCCGGCTCTTAAGTGTTATAGTTGTGGTGAACCAGGTCACCGACAGACAGCTTGTCCAAATCAACAACGACGTGGTTTGCTCTTCGAAGACACCGAAAGAGTGTATAATTCAGCTGATGAGGAGGATACGGGAATATATGAGGAGACCCTCACAAGTGGTGATTCTAACGCCCCTGTCTTAATGCTGTGAAGAATTTGCTTAGCTCCTGTTGGGTATGAAGAACCGTAGTTGAGAACTAATATTTTTCGGTCAACTTGCACAATTAAAGGAAAGTTATGCAATTTAGTCATTGACTCCGGAAGTAGCAGGAATGTCGTCTCTGAAACAGCACTAAAGAAGCTCGGGTTAAAAAGAGAAGATCATCCCGCTCCATATGCTCTAGCGTGGATCACAGAAGGGCCGGACATTAAAATAACACACCGGGCTCTAGTGTCTTTTTCCATTGGCGCATTTTACAAGGATACCATCTACTGTGACATCGCACCTATGGACGTTAGTCATCTGATTTTGGGTCGTCCGTGGCAATTTGATCGGGACACATGCCATAATGGGAAAAAGAACACTTATAGCTTCGTCTTTGAAAACAGAAAGATCGTTCTTCTTCCAAATCCAGAACCAGCATCACTCCCTCTGGCAACAAATAAAGTGGACATTCAACTCCCTGTCATGAAAGATCTCGGTTCTAAACATACTCTCCTTTGTTCTCGAGTGCAATTTGAAACAGAACTCCGGGATTCAGGATTTATGTTAGCCTTACTTCCATCGGCTTCCACTGGATCTGGCCAAACATCATCACCTCCTATGGCATTCTCCACATTATTACATGAATTTGATGATGTTTTTCCGGATGATCTCCCTTTGAGCTTGCCCCCTTTACGATATATTCAACACCAGATCGATCTCGTTCCAGGTGCCACACTTCCAAATCGACCTCATTATCGTATGAGTCTACAGGAACATGAACAGTTACGTCGTCAAGTTGA